AAACTGCTGGAGTTAAAGTGTGGTCTCCAGGATATCAAGATCAAGCACCTCCAGCAGAAGCTAGAGACACCCCAGGAGGAGCTCAATCGTGTTAAGAATCAAAACGCAGCTTCAGGCAGTGCGCCTGTTCCTAGGAGGAGCAGATCCAGCTCAGACTCCACTTCTTCAAAGTAGTTGGAGCAAATATGTTGGTAGTATCCAACTTTCTTTCAGCGGCAGAATGTTTATTGCATATTGGGCTAAATGGCAACTTGAGTATTGGCTTAGTGAGCATAATTCATCGGCTACAGGTTTTGGTAGAATCCTGTCATGTTGGTCCTTTCGTTTGGGTAGGACAGTTGTCAGCTACCCAGCGTTCTTTTACCTTCACGTCTTGTTTCCTTGGCCAGATCGGCAGAACTGTGAAGCAGGTGGCTTACCTGCAGTTTCTTCTTCATGCGCTAGTTGGGCAGCTGTATTCAGCCCAGTTTATTTTACTTTTCAGGGGTCCAGGAAAGTCTGGCGAAGTAATCCCCTAGTATTCTCTCTTCCCTTTGGGGAACGGAGGTCTCGCTCTGCTAGGGGACTCCCATTAGTATGTGGGAAGAAAGTTTACCCCAGTGCTTTGCAGTCTTGATCTCCTTCCCCTTCCCTTGTCCTACTGTCTTCCCCCTCCCTTCCTTCCTCCCTCCAGACAGTTCAAGGAATTGGCAGCCAGGTCACAGGCGAAAGCAAGTGGCCTTCCCTGGCGGGTCTTGCCATGGTCTCACCATGCTCGAAAGTCCGAACCTGCAAGTTGGCGTTCAGGGATTGCTCTTGTCTGGGGAGGGGGTCACTGGTGGGTGGGATGGGATTCTCCGCCCCGTTCTGGGGAAGTTCTGCATTGTTTCTGTTCTGGCCTGGGAACGGCCCATTAGAAGGTGGGCAGCGTTTAACCCGGGCGAGTTGTGTTTCATGCATGACCTCTCCTCCTCTCCTCCTCCTGGGGTAGGGTTCTTGGCGCCGACTCGGAACTGGCAACGCCCCAGGCTTGGACTGGGGGTCAGTTGCTGTCCGCGGAACGTGCTTGAGCTTTAGTTCAGCCCCGAAGCGAATGTCAACAATGCCCTCCCTCTTTCCTACCCACAATTCCTTCTCCTTAACAAGAACTCCTCCCTGTCGCACCCCGAGGCCAGTTTTTAGGAAGGGTCGGGCGTTTCGCCTGAGACTTCCTCACCATTTATGACTCTGGAGCTGAAAAAATGGCAACAGCTTCACAGATGGAGGGCGGGTGGTTTTCGAAATGTGGCTCTCGCCTTAGCGCCGCGCACATTCGCTTTGAACATTTGCAAGAGTTTCACGGGTTGAGGGCGGGTCGTTTTTTAAATATGACTCTCGCATTAGCGCCACGCACATTCATTTTAAACGTTCTCAAGAGTTTCACGGATCGAGGGCGGGTGGTTCTCAAGATGTGGCTCTCGCCTTAGCGAGGCGCACATTATTTTCAACAAATTGCAAGGATTCCACGGATTGAGGGTGTGTCGTTTTCAAAATGTGGTTCTCGCCTTAGCGCCGCACACATTCGTTTTAAACATTCTCAAAAGCTTCACGGATTGAGGGCGGGTCGTTTTCAAGATGTGGCTCTCGCCTTAGCGCCGCGCGCATTCGCAATGACAACTTGCAAGAGCTTCACGGATTGAGTACGGTTTATTTTCAAAATGTGGCTCTCGCCTTAGCGCCGCGTACATTCGTTTTGAACATGTGCAAGAGCTTCACGGATTGAGGGCGGTTCCTTTTCAACATGTGGCCCTCGCCTTAGCGCCGCGCACATTCGTTTTGAACATTTGCAAGAGTTTCACGGATTCTCCTGATCAGCTTACCAGAAATGGTGTTTTGGAAAGATTCGGGATTATGTGGGCGCAACAATTATGTTGATTCGCGGTGCTGAAGTCCGCAAAACGGCGCTCTGGCACGATTCCGGATCGTCAAGACGCAGTAGTCAGGTTGATACGTGGCGTTGAAGCCCCGAGAACAATGTTTTGGCATGCTTCAAGATCTTCAAACGGTTGTCTTCCAACGAGGTAGTTCCCTCAATGGAAATGAACCGTTGTGGGGACCTATGAAGAGGGAGCTTGGAGGGGGGGGTAATTCCAACATCGTTGATGACTCTCTGTTTTACACTGGTCCTCCTCCTCCTCCTCCTCCCTCCTCCTCCTCCTCCTCCTCCTCCTCCTCCTTCTCCTCCTCCTCCTCCTCCTCCTCCTCCTCTTCCTCCTCCTCCTTCCCCCTCCTCCTCCAGCAGGAGGCCCAACAAAAGGCGGGCCTCGAAAGGTGGAGAGCAGCGTTTCCAACAGACGTGGCTGTACCACGTAGAGCGACTGCATCCATCAGCAATGCTAATGCCAGTCCTGTTTGTTGGACCAGCAAGCACGGGAACTGCTCCAAGATAATGCGTACGAGAGTTCCCCAAGCGCTCTACCCGCTTACCGTGCTCTGTTCGCCTCCCCAGTAGAGGATGCGCCGCAAGAGCCCCCTCTACCTGCGGACAGACCATGCAGATACAGATTTCAGGATTTCGTGGACTGCACAATCACACTTCAGGGCTTCGTGAATTTGGTGGATGTAGGAATTTGGTGGATTTCACGGTTTCGCTGATCAAGTTTTATGTGGGCCATGCCGGATCCACCAATGTGAAGTATGTGTGCTAGATCATTTCTCGGGTCGTAGGCGTGGGGGGGATGCGCAAGCATGGATAGATGGTGGGCACCATAACGCCAACCACCACACAATGTTATGTCGAGTGTGTGAATCCTGTTCTTGATGCTAATATGGGTGACCTCATTCAGGCTACTACGATTTGGACCTGGGGAGAGCACATCTTAGCCTGGAGGGTACGGGACACTGGGGGGGGACATTGTGCAACCTGGGCTGCAACCAAATGGTCGAAGAAGGTCCCCGCTCGCACGAACCCGCGAGATATTGGGGCGTGCTGTGGTCGGTGAAGGGGAACTGGGACACACAAATAAGTACACACAAATAAAACTATCCCCCATATTTTCCCATATTTTCTGGGTTTTTGTCTTCCCCCCACTTCCCATATTTTCTCATATTTTCCTGGGAATCGCCGATTAATTGTGTCTGTGTGTTTTCTCCCCTCCTGAGTCGGGGGCGCGCAAACATGGATCGGGGGAGGTGCCCTCCCCGAAATGCGGCCGGTGCCGCCTAGCTCGGCGGCGGAAATCCACGATTTCGCATGGGAATGGGAGCCGTCGCTAATCCACGCCCCCTTGATTCATGTTTGCGATCGCCTGACGTGGGCTACCGAACGACAAGCTTTGCAGCTTGATGCGGGGGTACTTCACTACAAAATCTTGTCTATATCTCGGAGAGAGCGTGATCCACCGCCGCTTTACTGTGGAAACTTCCCCCCCTCTTTCTCCGGAACCTGGGGTTCCCCCCTCCGAAAATCCTCCACCTCTCCTGCTGGACCCCCCCCTCCTCCTTTCCCCCCGGCAAAACCCCCCCCTCCCCTAACCCCCCCCCTCTCCCCCCCCCTCCGGAAAACTCGGGGGGGGGTCACTACTGGTTCGAACCCATCCCCCCACCCCCTCCAGAAAACGGGGGGGGTCACTACCGGTTCGAACCCCCTCCCCCCCTCCAGAAAACCGGGGGGGGTCACTACCGGTTCGAACCCCCCCCTCCCAATCACCGCCGGCAAACGACCCCCGGGTCCCTACCACCGTCCGCACCACATCCCCCACTGCTGTCCTCAGCACCACTGCCCTCACCACCACTGTCCTCACCACCACTGTCCTCACTGTTCCCACCACCGTCCCCACTGTCCCCACCAGTGCCCCCCCACTGTCGCACTGTCCCCACTGTCCCCACCACTGTTCCCACCACGATCCCACTCTACCACTGTCCCACTGTCCCCACTGTCCCACTGTCCTACTGTCCCAGCCGCTGTCCACTGAGCTGTCCCACTGTTCCCACCACTGTCCCCACTGTCCCCACCACTGTCCCCACTGCACCTCTGTCCCATTGTCTCACCACTGTCCCCACGGTTCCCACCACTGTCCCACTGTCCCCACTGTATCCACCGCTGTCCCCACTGTCCCCGCCGCTGTCCCACTGTGCTGTCCCACCGTCCCCACTGTCCGCACCACTGTCCCACTATCCACACTGTCCCCACCACTCTCCCCACTGTACTACCACCACCGTCCTCGCCACCGCCTTCATCACTGTCCCCACCACCACCGTCCCCACCACTGGCCCACTGTCCCCACCACTGTCCCGCTGTCCCCACACCACTGTCCCCACCACCACCACCGTCCCCACCACTGTCCGCACCACTGTCCCACTGTCCCCGCAGCACTGTCCCCACCACCACCGTTCCCACCACTGTCCCAATATCCCCACCACTGTCCCAACTGTCCCGAGGAGCGGGAACCGTTTGCCGGCAGCGAGGGGGGAGCGGTAGTGACCCCCCCCCCGTTTCCGACGGGGGGGGGTTCGAACCGGTAGTGACCCCCCCACCTTTTCATGATGGACCAGGGGGGGGGAGGAGGGGGGGTTCGAACCGGTAATGACCCCTCCCACTTTCATGATGGACCGAGGGGGGGGTCGAACCGGTAGTGACACCCCCGCGGTTTTCGATTTTCGAGGTCGGGGGGGGGGACGGGTTGGGAACCCCCAGTGACCCCCCCGGTTTTCCGCCAGCAGCGGTAGAACACGCTCTTTCATATCTTGGGATGCCATACGCAATGGACGGTGCATCTGCTCACCCAATCGGAACGCTATGAACCAACACCTCCTCCTCCTTCTGCTCCGCTTCCTGACCATCCTCATCCCCCTCTTCCCCCTTGAAGGGGGGCCGTTCTACATATCCATCTCCTCTTCCGCCCCCCTCCCACTCCCCCTCCCCCGCTCCTTCCTCCTCCTCCTCTTCCTCCTCGTCCTCCTCCTCCTTGTTTTCCTCCTTGTCCTCCTCCCTTCTCCTATGAAACCCCTCCGTATCCCAATTGTGAAAGCAGCGCGCGCGCCGTCGGCAGCCAAGGGGTCAGAGGAGCTGGGGTAGCGGCTGGCGACGCCCTGTAGGGAGGCGCGCTGCGGATAAATGATGAATGATCAAAGATGAACGATGGATAAATTAATGAACGAATGGTGAATGGCAAACGATTGCATGAACGAATGCATGCATGCATGATTGAAAGAGTTCATGGTGATGGTGATGATAATGCTGATTATGATTATGATGATGATTATGATTTGACGATGATGGGAATGATGATCATTATCATGATTCGTATAATGATGATGATGATGATGCTGATGATGATGATGATGATGATGATGATGGTGGTGATGATGGTGGTGATGATGATGGTGATGATGGTGATGACGGCTTGAGATGATGGTGATGGTGGTGATGATGACGACGGTAATGATGATGGAGAGGATGATTAAGGCGGTGGTGGTGATGCTGATGCTGATGTAGATGATAAAGTAATTGATAATGATGCTGATGACGATGATGCTGACGATGGTGACGATGTTGATGCTGACGATGCTGATGCTGATGGCGATGATGATGATGATGATGATTATGATGATTGAGGATGACGCTAATGATGACGATGATGATGTTGATAACGGTGATCATGATGATGGTGCTGATGGTAATTATGGCGATGGTGCTGATGATGATGGCGATGGTGGTGATGACACAGATCATAATAGTGATGATGGTGATGGAGATGGTGATGGTGATGAGTATGATGAGTACGATGATGATGATGATGATGATGATGATGATGATGATGATGGGGATGGTAATCGTTATGGTGATGATGATGGTGATACTGATGATAGTGATGATGGTGATGATGGTGATGATGGTGATGGTGATGAGGATGATGAGGAGGAGGATGGTGATGATGATTGTGACGATGAGAGCGAGGAAATGATCATGCTGATGATGCTGCTGCTGATGCTGATGACGGCGATGGTGATGGTGGTGATGATGACCGCGCGCTCTCAGTGCACAATAGTGATGGCGATGGTGATGAGGGTGACAACGGCGACGATGATGGTCCCGCGCCACTGAACAGGCCTGAAGCCCCTCGTTTATGTACAGGCCTCTCCTTCTGGCGCCACGCACGTGCAACGAGCCTCTGTGTGGTCCAGTGAGAAGCCGTTGTGGGTGATTGCGACTTTCGGCTGGAGCCAGCGGCAGTCGCACCCACGAAGCGATCACAGCTGCTCAGCTCTGGCCGCCAGGTCAAGCACTACGCACAGACGCTGGAGAACAGAACCGTCGAAATCATTTCGTCTTCCCGCCCCGAACGGCCGACCCGCCTGGCACCACGAAGCAGCCAACGTCCGCGACGGGCACTCGTGATCCAGCCCCCGAGGGCCGACCCGCCTGGCGCCGCGGAGCTGCAGAGGCTCCGTCGCAAGCCTTCTTTCCAGCCCGCCCCGAGGGGCCCACCCGCCCGGCGCCGCGGCAGCGCGAGCCGACGGCCGCAGGCGCGCGGAATCCCGCACCCCCTGATAAAAGAAGCCCGGCGCCACGGCTGAGGCCCGAGCCCGTCGCGGGCACTCTTGCAGCGGCGAGCGAGGGGGGGAAGTGAGAAGGGTTGGTTGCACCGACATCAACACAGGGGGGTGCCTTTCTGGAAAGTGTTCAGTGCCTTCGGGGAAAGCTTAGAAAGCTTCTCAGACGGCGGGTGGACTTCCGAGCCTTCTGAGAAGGCCCGCCCCTTCTTACTTCCCCCCCCTCGCTCGCCGCCGATTATTGGTCCCCCCCCCCGAAATGCCCACCCGCCTGGCACCACGGTGGAAAGGAGGAGCCGTCGCACGCATTCGTGATCTCGCCCCAAAAAGCGGACCTGCTCGCGCCAGGCTCAGCCGCCACTGACCTTCGCCTTGGGCGGCGCTTCATTGGACAGGAGGGAAACCACCCAAGTGCGCGCCATCCACTGGACGGGAGAAGCCTCAGGGTCCCTCCCCCCGCTCCTGGCTGCTCTCGATCGTCGATAGGCCAGCGCGGAACAGAAGCTGCAATAAACAGCAGGCGGCAGCACAACGCTGCGGCCGCGAAAGCCGTGCGCTGGCAGTCCAAGAGGGAAGTGCGCGGCAGAAGCCAGTGTACGCACTGCAAGAGATTAAGGAAGCTCAAGCGGAACGTCGAGAAGCACACCAGCTGCCGCGAGAGCTGCCATCAAGACTTCTGTCGCCTCAACAAGCTCGCACGCCGCGGGAAACCCGCTGATGGTCTCCTCTCCGCCCGAAAATGCGTCAAGATCGAATAGTCTCCATTCCGTCCTGAGAGCCTGCAGTCAAAATATCCCTGAATCGTTGGGCCTGCTACGACTGCAACATCCTCGTCCTGTGAACGATCGTCCTTGCTTGGAGGCGGCTGGGCGGTCTGAACTGGTTGGGACAGCAGAAAATCGGTCAGGAGGGGGGATGTGGATGAGGCCAGATCCAATCAAAATCGGTCCCAGGACCCCTCCTGGGGTCCATCTGGTGCAGAATTTCACCCCCGATCTGTGTTTCACGGTCCCGGGGCCCGAAAACCGCCCCCGGAGGCCGAAAAGGCAAACAACCGTCCCGAACCAACAGCCTCGAAACAGTCCGCCCTTCCACTGACCAGAACCTCGAACCTGTCCGCCCGTCTACCGGCCGGAACCAGTGCTGGGCCACACCAGACCCCCAAACGGCTCCAACCTTGGGCTCCGGCTCCTCCTCCTCCGCATCTGGGCCGACGACCTTGGCGGCCGAACCGACTACATTCAACCCAGATCATAGGGATGCACGGTAAGGATGCAAGGGCCTTGGAGGGCCAAGTTGATGTTTTTCGAACGAGATTGGACAGTGAAAGTCGATAAGGATGGGTCGAAGGGGCAAGGATGCAAGGGTACCTTTGGGAAGGTTGCCCATCCTTGCTATGCGGGTTGACTGAAAGTCTGAGCGCACCACCCAGAGGCCGCCAAAGACTCCAACCTTCCCCAGCGCCGCGCGTTCCAACACTGCCCTGGAAAAGTCGTGCCACACGAATCGTCGATCTGTCTGTTTTCGTCGCCTTCGGTTTTCCGCTGGAGTACATGTGGGACCTGCTCTAGAACAGGAACATATCGTAGACAGTTCTACCCTTTCTCCGACCCTGCACCGCGCCGAACGCAACGGCCACGTTGTCCATAGACGTATCCACCCTGAAAGTGTCTATGAACGTCACGGCACCCAATGTGTCCATGGACGCTTTTGGCTAGCACGTGAGAAGTGTATTTGGCATCGGCCCCAGATGTTGGTCTTCTAGAAGCAGGTAGGCTTGGCCATCCAAATGTTTCGTCGTCTTTGGCCTCTGACCTCTGAGGGCCGTTTTCGGGCCCAGGGACTGTCAGACACGGACTGGCATGAAAAACTGCCCTCAAGAAAGTTGCATATCAGCGGCGTGCGCAAAGGGGTGGGGGAAGGTGGAAAGCTTCTTAGAAGGAGGCTGCTTCTTAGAAGACGCCGGCCTTACATGTACAGATAAGACCCGCGCCTGTTAAGAAGCAAGGGTGTTTCTAAAAAGCCTTCCCCCCCCTTCCCCCCGTACTCTCCTCTGCGCATGGCCGAGCAGACCCCCTCTGCCCTCTGCTCCCAGGCCCCCTGCGATGGGCGCTGCCCAGAATCCCCGATGGTGACGTGGCAGTCGCCACCCTCATGTGAGTGACGATGACACCCAGAACCTTCTAGAACAGTCCCCGATCACAGCGCGGAAAGGCGAGGCTAGCCGGGTACGACCATGAGGTTGCCCTCAAGAGTTCGAATATCTCTTTCATGACCGCCAGCACGATATGATGGTACACTTCGGAGAACAATGAATGTCGGCGCCCCAACCCCCTCCCTGCGAACAGCCCCTGACCCCTGGCATGTATCAGCTGAAACTGATGGCCAAATCTGGGTCACTATGAAACGAGCCGATGGGCTCCCAGCCCAGCGGCGTGGTCGAATAGAACGATGGGAGGAAGAGACGACTAGCACTTCAACGCAGCGGCTTCCAACGGGTCGCGGCCTGCATCCCAAGGATCACCACGCCGAGTGCCGAGCACGAAGCAGCTCGAGGCGTCCGAATTGATCGCGAGGACGGCCACGAAAAACATCCCCCCTGTCAGTCCGCCTTGGACGCCGTCCAGGCCGCGGAATACCCGCAACAACACCTGCGCAGCAGGTGAGCCGTTCTCCGCGGTGGAACCACGAGGGCGATCAGGCCGCTCGTCCGAAGCAGACCATGGCAGCGGCATGGCTGCAGGAGGGAGATGAAGAAATGGGAGGGGAAAAATGCGGCCGCGGGCCACCGCTGTTGCCGCTGGTTCGCGAGTCTGCTGGCGCAGGGCTGGTGTGAGCCGACGACATGAAGAGGATGAGGGGCAAGAGGGGCACAGGGAGTGGGAGGAAGAGGGAGGGAGCACATGGGGCCGGGAGGCAATGGGAAAGAGGGATATGGGGAGGGGAAGGAGAAAGATGAGAGGGGGCGAAAACAACAGGGGTGGCGGGCGGGGGGGCAGGAGGAAGGGGCGGGACAGGAGTACCACACCCGCTGGGGAAGCGATCGCGATCGCCCGTGCATCAAAAATCAGTCATCAAGTCGAACCTCGCCGGACTCTCCGAGGTCGGGCGCGTCGGCTCCCTTCTGGGCGTCGAGGGCGGCTGCGCGACGCGTGCGCTGGCGTCGACGGCGACGGCGACGGCGACAACGACTGCCCTGGCGTCGACGATGAACGCAGTCGCGCCCGCCGCCCCGATGGGGGGCGCGACCAGGAGAAGCGACGCCGCCATGAAAACAACTTCGTCGCCCTCTGATCGCCTGGGCGTCGACTGGGGAGCGCCTGGCCGTTCGCCTGAGGCGCGCCTGTGCCAGGCGCACAAAAGACACTGGGCAACTCCTGTGGAGAGCTTTGGCGGTGTGATATGAGGAGCACATGGCATCCTACAAACACGCGATGGAAATCAACTGAGCAGTGGAGAGCGGACCGAAACCGAAGAGCCCGAGGCGACCAACAGCCGAGGCAGAGGCGAACGAGGGAGGCAAGGGAAGAAAGCGAGCCAAACACAAGTCGAGACACGGACACGCGAAGTAATGGAGGGTGTCATCTCCCGCTGAGACGAATTGACACCATCGGCACCTCTTGGATGCCCGACACCTCCTAGTCGCGCACCAAGTGTTTGCGATCCCACTACGTAAGGACGGACAAAGAGAGGAAGCTCGGGACCAGGGCACACACGCGCCTAAACAACACAATGACGAAATCAACTCGGGGCTCGGAGACCGCGAGGCGAAACTATCTAGGCCCACTCTTGATGTCAGAGCGCACCGAGATTTTACTCTGGGACCTAAGAGAACACCCTCACGACGCTGGAGGGGCGCTTTATCATTAGGGATGTCGGGGAGGGCATTCAAGGCTCGATAATTTCGACGCATCTGGATGACGCGGGATTCTCTTCACCACGGATCAAAGGGGCGCGCAATCTGCGCGTCGTCCCTGGCCCCAACTTCGTCGAGGAATGTGCGCAGCTCGTGGCAGGACTAACTGTGGACTGCGCGCATGTACGGGGCAGCCTGGCTCGCGCTTGCCAGCTGCCTCTCCTGGACGGACAGGCCGATTCCCTCGGGTGCTTTCAGAAGGTGGCAGGAGAACGCATTCCGAAGGGGCAACCACGGGGGCCTGCAAGGCTTGCGCTCCATCCGAAAGGCCTCTAGAATCGGGCCATCAAACTGCGCCGCGCGGCCCAGGACACTGGAACAGAACGCGCTGCACCGTGCAATCGCGCGAGCCAGGTCGAGGTTCAGCAGCTTCAAAACTGGGGCGCGCCCAAGACACTTTCGACCCGCGTCGTTCCACGCGGCGCGTCTCCCACCAATGCCCAATCATATCCTGATGTGCTTGGCGAAGTTAACAAGTTTGAGCCGAGCGGTTTCGATGCTAACTTGCTGGAGCTCAGGGAGGAGAGCGCCTGGGCAAGGTGCTGCCAGGAAACTGCTAGCCGCCTCATCGATGCTCGAAATGGGGCCAACAGCCCAGCCTGAGACGATCCAGCCAGCAAAATAGCACGCAACGCTTCGTGCACATTAAATGCGCTCATTCCCGCGTCGTCGGGAAAAACTGCGGCGGCGGCCATCTGCCCGGAAACGCTCGCGAGAAAATGCCCGATAATCGGGTCGAAGGCCAGGGCGAAGACTGCCCGACTTGGGGCAACCTGGTTTTACCCCTCTGAGCCACCACAGACCGCGATCCCTGGGGCCCGCGAACTATACAGGATCGAAATGCAGAGATGACGTTGGCAGGCAGGGCCATGGCCACCAGGGCAAACCAGATGAAATCGCGGAGCAAACTCAGGAAGGCGGCGCGAACGCCCAAGCAACAGAAGTCTGCGTGCTGGGCTCCCAGCTGACACGAGCAGGAGAGCACCCGGCCCTCGATCTCCAAGACGCCGTTGGCCATCGAACGGCCTCGGACGAAACCTCGCTGGAGATCGGCGACGGTCATCTCGCAGAGCCGGGCTGACGGATCGTCGATCGAAAGGCCGGCAATCTCGTTCTCGGAGCAGGATAACGAAATCGGTCGCGCCGCATTCGACGATCCGAAGATGCCCTCGGAGGAGCTGTCGGCCGCGGAGGAGCCCTTTGCCAAGAAAACGCACATGGCAAATTTATGGGGCTCGCCTGGAATCTGGCCCTCGAGGACCCCTTCATAGATGGCGCAGCGCACTTCTAGGACTTCACCCCCCGCTCGAGCCCAGGCAGAGCACGGGGCCCCTTCGGGCCCAGGGGCGTTGCCCCATGCAGCGCCGAATAATGCCAGCGACAGCGTCAAACTCAAGCTCCCAGTGGACGCGACCAGAGCACTTCCGGATGCGCAGCGCGATTATCTGACGCGCCCTCTCGGAAGAGAAAGAATAATCACATGACGAAAACCACAAACAAACAAGAAAGCAACAATAAAGGAATCGAGCTTGCGTTTCAGCTTGGCGCTGCGGCTGGGCGTCGGCAAGCTTGAGCTCGCCGAGCTGCCTGCGAATATTCCCTGGGGGGGGGGGGCGACGCGAGATGGCGGTGGGAATCGGGCTGCCGAAGCCCCCGAATCACGGTCGACAAACTCACGCAGTTAATGGCGTGCATTCAAACCGCGGCGTCGAAGATGCAGGTCGCCCGCTTCGAGTACGCGCTTCGCTGGCAGGACCCGCGAGAGCTCGCCCACTGGCGACGACGCCTGACGGTGCTCAAGACGCGCGAGCAGACGAGCAGCCGCCGCTCGGAGGAGGTCCTTGCACGCGGCAAGAGCAGCAACTGGATCGGGAGTGAAGCCCCAAACCTCCTTCAGCATAGTCTGGACACATTCCGGAAATTCAAGACGTTCAGAAATCCGAGACTGGATCCGCGGCGGCCCAGGGGACTTCTGAAATCCAGCAAGCACCGAAACCAGGGGGACGTGGCCCGACGGGAACCCGAGGACCAGGACATCGTTGAGAACCAGGGAGTTCGGCCTCAAATCCAGAAGCGGGCCTGAACACATGCGGGTGTAGATTATATCCAGCCGGCCGATAGATAGCGCCCCGCCCCCGCCCCTCACCGACGCCCGACGAGTAGGCATAACCAGGTTGAACGACTTTGATAAAGTAGCGAACAACAACATGGGAACCAAACAACCCAAGACGATGTGTCGGTGCAATATACGCGCCGCTGCACCGCTGCCATGTCTCGCCGTCGGCGACGATATTGAAGTCGCCCGCGGAAAAAAAAGGCGGCCTTCGCGGCCAGCTGCAGGGTTGAACGCACGTGTCTCCGCGCCATCTTTCTGGCGGCAATGGAGAGAGAGGGGTTCAGGTAGGGGTCGGGGGTCTGAAGGGCACCGCCGGGCCCGTGGAACATGGCCTCGACGGGGCGCCCAGGGATGAGTCCACGAGGAATGATGCGATCGAAGTCCCCGAGAAACCGCGGATAAGCGAGGATGCGCGCACCGCCTGCGAGACCTGATGCAGTAGAAGAGCCCCAGGCGCGGAGCCCGAATACTTCTTGAACGGGATGCTTTAGGTCCTCTATCTGCCCGCGTGCTCCCTGCAGGCGTGGTGCGTCATGTCTGACATGACTTCGGCAAGTACTTTGAAGGCGCGCTGGGCCGCGCGGACAGGAGCGTGGGCCGATGCAAAAAGAGCATGGCCAGACCACGCGACGACGGTCAAATTCTGCAGAGGCAAGCGCCCACGCACTGGCGGGCCCCCGCCCGCGGAACAGGAGGCAGAGGCCCCGGTGGACGCACTGGAGGGGCAGGGCCGCCAGTCGAACGGGATGCCGAAGACGATGAGGGAGAGGCAGAAGCTGATCTGGGCCGCGCCCATAGCGCCGCCGCGAAGGCCGTTGCCGAAGAGGAACCCGCGCTAGCCCTGCACGAAGCGCTCGAGGCCGCCCTGGCACTCCAGCGGCGGAAAACCCCCGATCCAACGCCGTCGTCCGAAAGAAAATCTGATTCACCATCATGCGCGCGCGTCAACTATTGCGTCGAGTCACGCCGATCCGATGCGAGCGACCGTCGAAGAGCATTGCGCCACTGAACGGCTGCCTGATCGCCCGACTGGGCCTCGTCGACAGTGTCGGCGGCCTTCTCGCGGGGGGCGCGGTGCATGCTCAGGCGCCCGCAGTCAGGCTCGATGTCGCAAGACTCGTTGTGCGCGGACATGAGGTTGTGGAGGACCGCGATGTCCCGCGTCTCCTTCTCGACGGCGCAGAAGCAGCCCTTGCGCGCGTTGGGGCCTAGCGGGTGGCGCCGAGGACTCCGCGCCTTCACGCGACTCATCTCATTGAACGACTTCTGGCATAAGCACCCAGAGGTTTGTTATTGGCACGGACCGCGGGCGGGGCGTCGAGGCGGCACCGCAGGTCAAGGCGCTCCTTGGAGACTGGGTCGTCGTAGTGCAGGCCATGCGCGCGAACATGCTCGATGAAGTCCTTGGCCGTGGATTGCGAGCCGAACTTGATGAAGTCACTCTAGTTCAGATTATAACATGTGAGCGTGGCGCCTGCAGAGACCGACTGGGAGACATTCGCCAGCGCCGTCTTCGCGTGCTCGGCCATGGATGAACCGAACATTGAACGATTGTAACCTCCAATCAATACTCTGGTCTGGTCGGCGGGCTTCTCGTCACTGACGGGACTCGCTCGCGTATTCGCACCACTGACCGTCGACCTTGAAAAGGACCCCCCGCTGGCTTCGATGACTGTCTCCACGAGCTTCTGGATTCCCGATATTGGCAACCTCCACGCTTGTCTTCTTTATATCCGAAAGGGCTGATGCGATCCCGTCAAGCGCCTCGCCAGCGCCTTCTGCACAGTCGCGGCGAATCTTCTTGGGTTGCCTGGCCATCGGTGTGACAGGCGTGATGCGCGTAATCTCGAAGAGGGCTCCAGCCGCCAGGGCAAGCTCGCTGGGGGGTCGTGGAGCGGCCGACTGTCGGCCAGGAGAAGGCTCGGGCCAGCCCTTTGGCTGCGACCAAGCTGGAGCCACGGGGCGATGGTTCCAACTTGAACCGAAGCGGCTAGGGAGGCGCAACCAGCAGCAGGAGGAGCAGGAGGAAAAAGGGAGGAGGATATGGAGCATGCAATATGGATGAAGAGAATGACGGATGATGTTGGTGATGATGAGAAGGAGGACGAGGAGGAGGAGGAGGAGGAGGAGGAGGAGGAGGAGGAGGATGAAGAGGATGAAGAGGAGGAGGAGGAGGAGGAGGAGAAAAAGGAGGAGGAGGAGGAGGAGGAGGAGGAGGAGGAGGAGGAGAAAGAGGAGGAAGCCAATAGGGGAGGGGGGGGGCGAGCCTCGCGGGACGCGGCGACGTCCCTGTAGGGGGTGGCCACCTGCGGCGCGACGCGCAGGGGCCGAGGGAGGAGAGGGCGCGCAGGGGCCGAGGGAGAGGAGGGATCACGGGGCCCAGGGGCCCACACGAGGAAACAGGCACGGATCCTAAGATTCCCTATGTTTTTGCTTACAGTTGAGGCCGGTCCACAGGAGAAACCTCCCACAAGAAACCCAACCCTGAGACCCCAGGGCGTCCTTTGGTTGTTGGCGTGGGAACGTCACTCTTTCCATCGCAGGGCCATCGAAACCCAAGAGACCCAGGGCACCCTGGAGGCAAGCAAGGTGTTTCTTGACATGTTCCTCCACGGTATCTTCTGGATGCTCGCCTTCTCCTTCCCTTCAACTTCTCTCCCGACAGGAAGACGATCGGGATCGGGATCGGGTTCGCGGAGCTCGGGCGCCTGCTCGATGCCGTCGCATTCGACCGACAGGGAGTGGGGGGACCCCTCCCCCCAAGTGGAGAAACAAGGCGAACTGACGCGCTTCGCGCTGCGACGGGGGGAAAAGCCCCTCATGCCGCCACGCGCTCTTCGCCGCGCGCTGCTGGGCGGCGGCGCGCGGCTCCCTTCTGGGGAGAGCAGAAGGCACTGATGCCGCTGCTCCCCGGACCTCTCCTGGGGTGCGTTCTGACCAGGATTTCGAGGCGAATCCAGCGGTGGCGACGGGGGCCTCCCACGAGGCTCCGAAAATGGAAAAACGGGGGAAGGAGTAGAGGTATGGGCACCTTGTCCTCCTCTCACCTTCCTCCCCTTCCCCTGCCGGCCCAGCCCTGCCCTGCCCTAAGCCGGGGCAGGCCAGAGAGAGGCTCGAAGCCGCCGTGCGACTGAGCTCCGGGTGGCTCGTGCCTCCCCTGCCCCGGCGGCCTCTCCGCTCTCTCGGGCGGGGGCGCGTGCGCCGCCCCTCCGCAGGGGGCAACCCCTCGCGAACGGGCACGCAGCCGAGGCGGCGCCCCCAGGGGAAGAGGATCGGCGGCGAGCCAAGGGGGGGGGGAAAGTGAGAATAGGGCGAAGAGAACTATGCACATGCACCGATCCTGGTAAGGCCCATCCTTGACCCAGGATCGGTGCATATGCCCTCCTGGCCAAGGTAGGAGGGCGTGAGCACCGATCCTGGGCTCAGGTTGGGCCTGGCCAGAATCGGTGTATGTGCATAGCTCTTTTTCCTCTGGAGAAGGGGGCGGACCTTCTCAGGAGGCTCGGAAGCCCCCGGGCCTTCTCTGAGGAGCTCCCGAAGCCTTCCCGAGGACGCGGAGCGCTCCTGAGAAGTCCCGCGGCCTTCCGGGCAGACCTTCTGCCCTCTTCACTTCCCCCCGTCGCAGGCCGCCGAGAAGAACAACAGCGAGAGTAAGAGCAAGAGGGAGGGGAGCATAGAAGAAAAAACGCCATAACCATAAACTGTTGGCGCTCCGCGCGGATTTCTTGGATCTACGCTTGACCCCCCTCCCTGGCGTGCGGAGCGCGCCAGAGGCGGCGCCGGAGGCGCCGCCGGGGGGGCCCAGCGCGGATCCAAGAAATCCGCGCGGAGCGCCAAAAGTTTATGCTTGTAGCGTTTTTCTTCTTCGAGGAAGAGGAGGAAGGGATAGCACAAGAAACACCACGAGCACGAAAAAAGAGCAAGACACACACACACAACAGAGGGAGGGAGGGCGAGGTGGGCCAAGGCTCGCGGCGTACCGCGGTGCCCCCTGGGTTCTCTCGCCACCTGCGGGACAAGATGGAGAACAGTACGGCCCAAGTCTACATCTGAAGGGCTCAGATGCTCCCGCGACCGAACACAAAGCTCACCCGAGAGATCAAATTATCCCGGCAAAGCAACCTAACAGCGATGTGTATAAGCATGCCTCAGCCTCAGCCTGCCTCAGCCTCAGCCTCAGCCTGTCTCAGCCTCAGCCTGCCTCAGAATCAGCCTCAGCCTCAGCCTGCCTCGGCTTGCCTCGGCCTCAGCCTCAGCCTGCCTCGGCCTCAGCCTCAGACTCAGCCTGCCTCAGCCTCAGCCTCAGCCTGCCTCAGCCTCAGCCTGCATCAGCCTCAGCCTCAGCCTCAGCCTGCCTCAGCTCAGCCTGCTCAGCCTCAGCCTCAGCCTGCCTCAGCCTCAGCCTCAGCTGCTTCAGCCTCAGCTCAGTCTGCCTTCAGCCTCGGCCTCAGCCTCAGCCTGCCTCAGCCTCAGCCTGCCTGCCTCAGCCTGCCTCAGCTCAGTCTCAGCCTGCCTCAGCCTCAGCCTCAGCCTGCCTCGGCCTCAGCCTGCGTCAGCCTCAGCCTCAGCCTGCCTCAGTCTCAGCCTGCCTCAGCCTCAGCCTCAGCATGCCTCGGCGTGCCTCAGCCTCAGCCTCAGCCTGCCTCGGCCTCAGCCTGCCTCGGCCTCAGCCTGCCTCAGCTCGGGCATTCAAAATATGGCACAGAACTGGTGTTCTGGGAACACGAAGATCACGAAGTGACCCAAAAATGGCTCCGGGCAGTCCAAATATGGTACAAGAATGGTGTTCTGGGAACACGAAGAACACGAAGTGGCCTACAGTTGGCTCAGGGCATTCAAAATGTGGCCTGGGAATGGTGTTCTGGGAACACGAAGAACACGAAGTGGCCTACAGTTGGCTCCGGGCATTGAAAATGTGGTTTTGGGAATGGTGTTCTGGGAAAACGAAGAACACGAAGTGGCATTCAAAATGTGGCCTGGGAATGGCTTTCTGGGAACACGAAGAACACGAAGTGGCCTACAGTTGGCTCCGGGCATTCAAAATGTGGCCTAGGAATGGTGTTCTGGGAATGGATTCCTAACGATTCCGAAGAATTCCTAAGGATTCCTGGGGCTGACCCTTTTCTCCGGTTCCTTGTCCGGATCTGTCCGGATCCCGCCCAGACCCCCCTGGGGCGTCAAGATGCTCTCTTTCGATCCCACTAGAAACCTATCAGCAAAAGCTGTTAGGTAAAAACGCTTCCGAGGGCAACATGGCACAACAAGAAGACAGGGGCTGTGATGACGCCATGGCGCCCCTGGTTCTGCAGGGCCGCCCCATGCATCCGCCGGACCTGAAAAACCAGCGATCTCGACGGATTCAGGGACCGGGAACCCAGAGCCAAGCGGCGGCGCCGAGCAGGCGGGCGCCGGACGATGCCTTCGTGTCCGGCCTGCGTGGGTCTGGGTGCCCTGGTGTCGCGCGGCGCTCGGAGCAGCTGTGCACTGCAGCATGGCAGCGGCAGTGGCCGGTGGCCACCGTGCCGTGGGCGGAGGCAGCGGCGGACGGGACGGCTGCGGCGAGGTGCGAGCGCGGAGTCCCCAGCAGGAGTGGCGCCGCTGGAGCGGCGCAGGGGCCCTGCCGATTGCCAGGGCACAAGACTGCGGCGGGCGCGGGCGCGCGTGGAGGCCTGGGGATGCAGGCCCGGGCGGCTGCGCACAGAGCAGCCCGTAGGCGGCAGCGGAGCTTGTTGCGATCTCGGGCGCGCCCGTGCTGGGAAGCGGGCTGGCTCGGCGGCGCGACGGCGGCGGGCGGCCCGCCCGCGCGCGTCGAGAGGAGCTGGCGCGCGGTGGGCTCGGCGGCCACGCTGCTGCGGCACGCCAGGGCCGTGGTGCCGCACGCAGCCTCGGTGAAGAGGCCACGCCGCCCTCGGCCACGCAGACTGGGCTCCGCTCCTTGACTGCCCTAGTCTGTGAGAGAGTGCGGGGCAACAGCAGACGCCAAGCTTGTGCCCCGCGCCACGGAAGCATTCTCTCTGTGAGGGGTGCGATTCGTGTGTTGCAAAGGTAGTCACCCTTGCTGTTTCACACTCTTCGTTTCCGCCCCCATAAATTGGGCGTGCGGCTCTACGAATCGCCCGGTTGGACTTTCCAGCCTCTTCCACGGAAGCAGACGGCTTCGAGGGTTTGCCCCGAGCTCCGCTCCGAGGCTCGTCGAATATGTTCGCCCGACCCCGCCGCGCGGAAGGCTGGGGCGGACGACGCTACTGGTTCGGGGGGGAGAACGAAGCAACGAAGCTTCAAGGACCTCCTCATTCGACAGGAGATCGGTTCGGGAGTGCAAGTGTAGATACAGATTGATCAATGCTACGTATCACCCCTCAGTCAGCCATGTAAATCATAGGAGCACTTGGAGCAGGAAGGCAGACACTAGAAAGTTCACACGTAGGCTTCATCTCGCGTGGAAAGATAGAGAAGGGAAGGCACTTCATTCGTGACGTTGCTGTACGACCCTGGGAACCGATACCCGATCATGACATACCGCCCCCTCTGAATCCGCTTGCACAGACTCAGGGCCAACATACGTGATACCATATTCGTAGCGGCCTCATGATGGGGCAACAGCGGCATCAATGATGGGGCCACAGCAGGAATTACGCGAACTGCACTCGGTGACGTCAGCCGTCGACTGCCTGGGACGTCGAGGGGAATCGGGACAGGTATTCGGCACTATCGCTTCCAACGGCAAAGCGTCGCAAAGATATCGCGTTGGTGCACCCCTGGGCAACTCCTCCCTGAGCATCGGTCAACCGATCCCCATGCCCACCGGCGTGGCATTGGCCCCGTTGGCCGACTCACCCGCCTACCTGGGGATCTCGGCCTGTTCCTTCGGGTTTCGCGGGGCCTGGCCCCACCTGGGAGGGTGGGCAGGTGGGGCTGAGATGCCGTGGCCCTGTGGGGACGGGGAAGATGAAGGGGCCCTGGGACACACAAATAAATACACTCAAATAACAGGATTCCCCATATTTCCTATTTTTTTGTGTATTTTTGGCTTCCCCCCCACTTCCCATATTTTCCCTTATTTTTCTCGGGATCGACGATTCATTGTGTCTGTGTGTCTTTTCCCTACTGAGAAGGAAAAAACGGCATGAACATAAACTTTTGGAGGTCCGCGCGAAACAAATTTTGTTCATGGCGCTTTTTCTCCTTCGAGATCAGGCGATGCTGACTCCTGCTGCCGGTGGGCCTGGCCCAACCGCCGTGGCAAATCCGCGGCATCGGCGGCGCTGGCTGCTCACGCCAGCTGCCGGGGTTCCAGCGGCGGCGC